ACTTGGAGGATAAGGGATCATCTCACTTGGAGAATGAGGGATCATCTCACTTGGAGGATAAGGGATCATCTCAGTTGGAGGATGAGGGATCATCTCACTTGGAGGATAAGGGATCATCTCACTTGGAGAAGGAGGGATCATCTCACTTGGAGGATAAGGGATCATCTCACTTGGAGGATGAGGGATCATCTCACTTGGAGGATAAGGGATCATCTCACTTGGAGGATAAGGGATCATCTTACTTGGTACATTTGCTCTGATCCAACTTGCCCAGAATGCCTGTTCAACTTCAAACAAGTTTCATTAAATACTGAAATATTGAAAATTCCATCATCTTCTAAGAGACCATCTTCTAGAAGACAAGAGAACATATATAAACATTGCATCACCAAGCAGATAGATCACGATTGAATATAAGTGCAGCTGGAACACTTTCACAGGCCAGTAGGGTGTGTAACACAAGGAGCACACACTTAGATTTGATCTTACGCACTTAGGCTCAAGTACTAGCTCTATAGTTTGTTTTTGTTTGAAAGTGTGTGTGTGTGTATCTGAGTGTACGAGTATGTGTGTGTGCGTGTATGCATGTGAGTGTGTGTGAGCATTTGTGTGTATGTCCGAGTGTGTGCATGTGTGTCTATGTATGCACAGGTGTCTGTGCACACACATGTGCATGTTTGTCTGTGTGTATCTGTGCTGTGCACATGTGTGTGTATGTATGCATGTGTGTGTGTGTGTGTGTGCTCTCAATTGCTCTCCACCTTATTCTTTGAGACAGGGTCTCTCACTGAATCTGGAGTCCGCTGATTCTGCTAGACCATTTGGTCAGCAAGCACCCAGGATCCTCCTGTCTCTGCCTCTCCACTGCTAGGATTACAGGTGTGCACCACTACTGCTCCTGGGGGTTCTAAAGCACCATTGCTCCTGGGAGGTTTCCATGGTTACAGGGATGGACCTCATCATCATGCTTCAACAGTAAGCACTTTACCAACGGACCATGGTTTTTCACTTGTTTGGGGTTTTGTTGTTTTGTTTTTCTTTTTCTTTCTTTCTTTTTTCTTTTTGGTTTTTTGTTTGTTTGTTTCTTTGTTTGTTTGTTTCGAGACAGGGTTTCTCTGTGTAGCCCTGGCTGTCCTGAAACTCACTCTGTAGACCAGGCTGGCCTCGAACTCAGAAATCCGCTTGCCTCTGCCTCCCAAGTGCTGGGATTAAAGGCGTGCGCCACCACTGCCCGGTTGGGTTTTGTTTTTCAAGATTTCTTTATTTTCATTTTATGAGTGTTTTGCCTGCATGTATGTCTATGTACCATATGCCTGCCTGATATCCTTGGAGGCCAGAGGAGAGCATGAGATCTGTCGGAACTAGAGTTACAGATGGTTGTGAGCTGCCATGTGAGTGCTGGGACCCAAACCCAAACTCTGCAAGAGCAACGAAGCTCCTGACCACTGAGTCTCTCTAGCCCTGGTTTTGTTTTTTGAGACAGGATTTCACTTTGTAGCCCAGGCCTCCTTCAACTTGCTAGGTAACCCAGGCTAGCCTCTTACTCTTACTCTTAATCCTTCTTCCTCAGCCTACTGTGTCCTGGAATTATGGACAAGTGCTACCACACCCGGAAAAACTCCTGAGTTGTATAAATTTGGCCAAGTGAGGTTCAGAAGGGTTTCTTCTAAACCTAAATTTTCTCACTCGTGGAATCAACTGATACAGCTTGCTTTCTTACATCATGGGCAGCTGGGAGCACTGAGTGAGGTGCGGAAACGTTGCCATAAAGCTGTGACCTTTGTAGACAGTCAGTTGTGCTTGGGCCATAACAAAATGTCCTGAAGCGCCTCTGTGGATGGACACCTTGAGAATAAGGGAAATGGTGCATAAAACTCTATGGGTTTGGCCTCAGGGCTGGTGCTTTCCAACAGAAAATGACTGGAAGGTGGATGACTAGGCTGGAGGGACTGTCTGCTACACTCAGAGCAGACAGCATTCCTCCAGCTGCTGAGAGCTCAGCTAAGGTAGTAATTAACAACCAAGAGGCAGCCTTGTTCTGGCCACTGTATAGAACAAGTCATCCCCCTGCAGGGGAACATCCCCCGAAATCCTTTATTTTCTTAATGCTGTCAAAGAAGAGGCTCCACTGGATGAATTAAAGAGCCTCCCCCCCAACAAAGCAATTTCAAAGGAAAAGCAAATGTCCTAACAAATACCTTTTACCTTTTCTACCAATGAAAAAGGTGGTTTGTTTGTTCTTCTTTCTAATGCGTTGGAGATCAAATCCACAAGCTCCCAAGTCAAACCCCTCTCCCCTCTGAGCTACATCCCCAGCCCCAAACAAAAGTTCAAGCCTCTGTCAGGGAGACTCTCTTTTACAGTCTCATTTAATATGTAAATCTCTCATAAGAGTCTGTGCCACCTAAGAAGCATGCATGATAATGGCAAATCATTGCAGTCAAAATCAGCATTGCCCAAAGTGATCTCGATATTGCTAACATATGCAGCAGCACAAGGCAACTAGCCGAGAGACAATATTCCTGACTATAACGGGAAAATGTGAAAATACGTTTCTAAGAATTGGAAGACCTGTCAGATTTCCTTCGTCTTCACAGTGTTTAAAGTTTTCACAAGGATATCCAGAGGAGGGGGACAGCCATAGGATTCTGAGGAACAGCAAATGTACCCATGTACAAAATGTACGGAAGAAACGGCACATAATGTCTACGACTGTACACAGACAGAAGAGAAGCAGAGCTACTGTCTGCGAGTTCCCACTCGAGACAGCTTTTCTGTGGTATAGCCATTACAAGCTGAGTTCAGAGGAAGACAGCACCGGGAAGGAAGGCGTCTGGCTTCTACTTCCTGCACCCACTCCTGACAGAAGTGACTGAGAATAACTAAAAATGGGTCAAAATTTGCATCTGGGTTGGAAGGAAAGGTTGGTTGCCATATGCAAGGCAGACACACGAGGACATCTACGCTTAGCACGGTGTAAAAGAGACCGGGCTATGGGAGGCTCAGAGCAGCTATCCAACCCGCCTTCCAAGCAAGTGAGCATGGTCGCTAAATTTCACAGGAAGGATAGAGAACCTGAGCAGTGGAGGAGGCCAGACAGGCCCAGGACAAGGTAGTGATGAATGTCCTCATGGAGGCACAGTTCCTTAGCCCCCAAATCTAACTGCACATCAGAACCACACAGACAGCACCTCTAAATGGTGTGTGGACATCTGTGGGGTAGGTTTTAAAGGTCATCAGGCAATTCGCCATAGGATTTTGAGGAACAGCAAATCTAACCAGGTTCAACCTTGCTTAGAGAGATCACCTGAGATTGGACACATTCTGGGTGGTATGACTGTAGACTCACCTGGCAATTCTGAGAGGCAGCCAGGACAAAAGGTGTATCGGCTACTATTACTAGTGCCAATACTCATTCCTTAGCACTCTGGAGATCAGCAACAAGGAAGATCATCTAAGTGCAGACCTCAGGACCAGAGAGCTCCATGTAACAAAACCCTGGCTTGACAGGACAGCTTGACTCTGCTGCTTCAGTAGGCTGCCACGCCGTTATGAAGACAGACACACAGCAGAGCTGGCCCAAGGCCAACAGCTTCACAAGTCCACAGAACAAGGTACTCAAATATTAAACTCAGGGAGGTGGGCTTCCAAAGAGCTGCTCCTGAAAGAAGGCCAGCCCACCCAGCCATCGGCGAGTCCGTCACTGGGAGGACAGAGATAAGCACATTAATATAATCCAGTGAAAAGTGAGGTCAGAGGGAGTGACATCCACCTCATGAGGAAGCACCAGTCTAGACAGGGCTCTATCTTCCCTGGAGAAGTAATTTAGAAGCCTATGAAATGATCCTTCCACACTAAGGGAAGGAGAGGGAGGTGTGTATAAAGGGACCAGGGGTTTTGTTTTGCTGTGTTTTTTTTTTCAAAGCAATATGATAGTAAGATTAAGCAGTTCTTGTTTGTTACTTTCAATAATAATTTCTTTAAAACATCCGAAATAATTCTAATGAAAGAAGAATGTGTTAGAAAGGAAAGCGTTGAGAGAAGCAGAAAGAAAAGAAAACTATCTCAGATTCCCCACATGCTCCTCAGAGATGAATGTGCACAACAGGACTTACTACTGTAAGTACATTATAGACACACACACACACACGCACACACATGTTCATACACATTCACACATGAGTGCACATGAAACATGTACACACACATGTGCATACACACACATGCACAAACGTTCACACACATTCACACATGAGAGCACATGAAACATGTACACACATGTGCATACACACATGCACACACATGTTCACACACATTCACACATGAGTGCACATGAAACATGTACACACACATGTGCATACACACATGCACACACATGTTCACACACATTCACACATGAGTGCACATGAAACATGTACACACACGCACATATGCGCACACACACACACACAGACGTTTACAGTAGGCATGGTACACATTCCCAGAAGGCAGAGGAAAAAAAAACATGAACATTTAAAGGAGAAGGCAGGGCGTTAGTTCCACGTAGGTGTATTGGGGTTGGGGGAAGAGTGGGGTTTGTGTGTGGAAGAAGTAACAATCCGAATGGTGACTTGGTGAAGGAAACCATTCCTAACCTGTGGACAGATCAAAATCCCTTAGGGCCCTAGGAAGACTGATCAAGTGCACAGCGTTTACATCCCACACACTGAAGCTTCATGAGAAAGTTCCTTTACTGTTGAACTGCAACCAGGTCAGACACTTAGATGCTGTCAGTCAACACGTACCGTGTGTATAAACAGATGACCTAAGGTTTAGCTTTACTGCTAAAGGGATCTTCTTTGATATCCACACTGAGGTGGCTGGATGCTGGAGCCTGAGCTTCGCTTGTGGGAGACCCTAGATTCACTCTTCAGTGGCTCCTAAGGCTTTAAATCCCAAAGCCAGTGTAATTTGTTTACGGAATTCTTAAATTCAAGAATTAATCTCCACTCAAACCCTTATTCACAGGGAAGGCAACAAAAGACACTCTCAGATAATTGTGGGCTCAGAAAAGACCCCATTTCCACAGTGAGAAAAGATAGAAACCGTCCTCTACACGGGAGCAGAACTGGGAGGAGAACAGAGAAGAGAGCTGAGAAAAATGGGCAGTTAACACCGCACCGACTAAAACACACACCTCAGGTTAAACAGCTGCCGGAGACATTACTACAAGCAGCGTGCGACAAAACTACAGCGCCAGACCCACCAGACCGACAGTCTAAATAAAGGAGGGAAGAAATACAGCCATGGTCAGCTCTGCCTTCCTTCCACAGAAAGAAGCCAACACTGGTGAGCCTTAACACTGGTAATCAG